TTTTTCGATGAGTTAGCAATTGAGTGATTAATGGATATGTATTTTTTTGCATCTAAACTTTTTTTGAATATAGATAAGTTTCTTATATTGACAGTTTTCGTTTTAGTGGGTTTCAATATGTTTAAATATTCGGTTGTATGCGTAGATATAGAAGGCAAGGAACTTATTGTTTTCGAATTGTCTACTATTACTGACATTGTGTCCCATTCCAATGTTCTTTTTGAAACTGAAGTAATTTCGTCCTGCAACATTTCAGATGGTTCAAGCATTTTGATATCGTGCCTAAGTTTTTTTAATAAATTATTTTTGCAACCTTTAGTTTGGCATTTTATGCCTAAAGTCGAATCTCGCCAGTTTTGACTAGAGTCAGAATGTGGCTCTCGTATTAATATTAATGAAAATGTGTCTGCATTAGAAACTGGTATTACTGAACTGTATTGGAGAATGTTCAGGGCTTTTACGAAAGACGGTTTGAACTGGAGGTCGTCTTTTGACGTGAGCATAAAAGAATTTGAATCCTTAGATATTTTTGATCTTAGTTGAAAGCGTTCGTTTGAGATAAATGGGTGATTTGTGTTAAACGTATTTGTTTTCAAAACAAATGTGGAATTTACAGAGTCAATTGAATACTCTGTTAAGGGTTCGACACGAAAATGTTCAGCTGTTGTCAGAAACACCTTATTTATATTGCCGGTCTGAATACTTTTTTTTGAAGACATCAACGAACTTGTAATTGTTTGTACGCTCTTAGGCATTGTAACACTTAAATATTTAATCATTGATGCCCACTTATTTGATGCAGTGTTAAGGTTTAGATCGCGTTTTTTAGTAGTATTAAGCTTTACAAAATGCAATGATTCGTTTGAGTTTTCTGTCTTTTGGTCTTGCTCAGTAAATTGTTTTATCTTTTCTTTTGGAATCCCATAAACATGTCTTATTGGCTTACCATTTGAATTATCTGAATAATTCAGTTTAGAAATAGATTGAGAAAAATGTTCATTTCTGTATATTGAAGTATACTTGCTTAATCCGCTTTGTCTTTTAGTATCCTTAAAGGAAACCGAATGCTGAGCATTCTCATAGATGGTTAATGTATTGTTTCGTTGTTTAAATTTAACATCAGTCTCATCGGGCTTTAAGTCTTCATGTTGAACAGGAAAAACTCTCTTACGGTTAGTCGTTAACTGGACTTCAACCTTATCGTCGTTTAGAGGTATTTTAATATGTGACATTAAAAAACTATCAATATGACCTCTTACGGTTGTTGCGTACGGAATATTCTCTGAGTCTCTTTTGAAAGTTAGAGGGCGAGCATGCATATTAACTGTATGGCTAATGACGTCATTTTGAAGGTTAACTTGGTGAATGACAGAAAATGTAGATACACCTAACGGCTTTCTATAAGACAAAGTTGGTTGTAAAGAGTCTAAAGAACAATCATGACTTAAAGAATAGTCAAAGGTATTTGACAAAGCTAAATAACTTTTAGTAGCTGGCCGACTTTCACCAAAAATTTGTGGTACTCGAAATACATCTAAAATTTGATTGTTGTAAAATGCAGTATTTAAGCTATTTAGTGACTGAGAAGAATAATGATCATGAATCGGATTGTTTTGAAATATTGTAATAGGTGAAAACCTAATTTTACCAGGTGTTCTCGTTCTCCACAATTGAGACTGGAAAGTTGATGGATACTGTAGTAGTATTTGTCGATTTACAGGTAGTGGTGGAGGCTTTAATAAACTGGCGTACTCTATCATAAATTCATTTCTATTCGAAAGGGAATTTTGTAACATCGTTGAATAAATCGTTGGAATACTGGGGTAAAACGAATTTATCGAATTTAAATGACGATACGTTATTGTAGTTCTATTACCGGCTAACAATGTTTGCGAAACTGTTTCATCAATATTTGGCCTTCCAAATATAACATTGGGGCTGGCCGTTATAACCTCGCCGGGTCTTATGGGAATACCGGTATTGATGAACGCGTTCTTATGCACCATAGATATTTCTTTATTTCCTAAGAAAGTCGAATGTTTTGCTAGATTATGTTTTATACACTTATTTACTACATCCATCTTTGGTGGATATATATGTAATGTGTTAATTTTTAATTTTCCAAGTAAATCAGCCGTTGTTGGTTTTGCATTTGTTGTGTTTAAGGGTTTGCCTTTTACATTTTTCTCTAAAGGTATATAAATTGGTTCTTTTACTGTGGTGTGGCTTTGAGCTGAATTTGTTTTTGATTTTTCTTTAATCAATTTATGTGTATGAAGTTGCGCCTTCTGTGTATTAGTTAGTTGCTTTTTGATTAAGTGTGCTACGACATTCAGCATTGGGCGAAATCGCTCCAAATGTAAGTTTTCAGTAATGATGGCCTGTGAAGATACTAATGAACTGTACTGTGATGGCTTTAATTTATTATTATTTTTTGTGAACACTTCACTATTTTCAGATTCCGATAATATTAATTCTGTAATGTTCTTCTTATAAATGTTCTGGTTGAGGCTCGATTTTTCTGATGTGTGTATGGTATTTTCAGAAAAGTCTGGTAGCTTTGAACTAAAAGTTGGTTTTCTCTCATTAGATATGGATGTAGCCTTAACGAAACTCATTTCTGAGTTCAAGTGTTCTTTCGACTTCTTCATAGTGGAAATATACTTCAAGTTTGGTTTTTTGATTATATTCACGGCAGTTACTTGAATAGTTTCACCTGCCCCCAGTGTGGCCATTGTAACAATAGTTTGGCGTTGGTTTTTTCTCTTTTTAAGCATAAGTTCGGATTTAATCGAAAATAAAAGATCTGAGTGTAACAGAGAGTTACCCACAGTATTAGTAGCAATATTTTTTATAACGTGAGTGTGAAGCTTTAAGTTATGGTTAGGAACATTGTGGTCACTTTCACAGACTCTCATTGTCACAGAAACATATGAAGCTGTTCTAGTCAAACTACTATTAAACATAGCTGTACAAATTGTACGTGTTTCTAATAAGGTCTTTGTTGAGTATATCATCAGGTAGTCAGATTGTTCCATATTAATTACCGAAGCTGATAAATTAATTTTTTTGTCCAAAATTGAAAAGTAATCAGGTCCTTTCGGATTAATATGAGTTGAAACCGTTGCTGGAAGGGACTCTGTAATAACGACTTGGGTGAGATTATTTTTACTTGTGCCATATGTTGGTGTTTGGTTTTTGTCGTAGACAGTTTTAGTAAGCAATATTTGACTGAAGTAGGTATTTGTGGTAGGCGAAAGATCCTCTGATGAATTTATAAAGGTCAAGAAATGTGCAGGTCTCGTGACTGTATTTATAACATTATATTTTGAAGCTACTACCATTACAGTTGTCTCTGGTTGGCCTCTATGTACCGTGTTAAAATAATGATATCTTGTTGGGAACATTCCAACCACTAACTCTGGGGTCTGAACATTAAAAGAAACAATATGTTTTATGACGTGAAATGTTAAATTTGACGTGACGCTTACCCTTGTGAAAGTGACGTCTATAATCAGTGGATTACTTGCATGCAAACACTTTCGGTCTTGCGTAATAGTGTTTGATATAACCATTTTTTCTCTTACCACATTTGAGCTTCCATTTTCCACATATGTAGTGAAATAAGTGCAAGTGGTAAGAAAAATGTTTGTAACAAAAGAATTATCAGGAATTAAAAGTGTGTCCTACAGAATGAATTAACGCGCTTTTTAAATTGGCTAATAAATTGTAAATAAATCTTACCTGCTCAATTGAAGGCAATGTTAAAATCATCTGATTTTTTAAAGTACTTGGAGCCAGAGTCGAGGGTTTGTCATATTGTTGTTTTATTAATCGACTGATATTATTTCTACACTTTTGGGTATCTGCCACGACCTTTTCCATAGGCTTTCCCTTTTCACTGGCAATTATTAGTTCTACTCCATTTGACATAACGTGAGTGGCAAGATTATACCTTGCTTCTTCCAATGTTTTCTCCGACACAGAGCCGTAAAGAACTTCATTTTCATGGTCCTGTACGTACCTCGTACTAATTCTTCCCGTCCTGTTATGTACTTGGAAGCGAGAAACATATCTTCCATTGCGTTCTATAGTGATTTTAAAAGACAATTTATATATTTAATTTATATAAGCGTTGTCAGCTAAATACAAATCTGAGGAGACAAAGGAAAGGGAAACCTGTAATTAACTGTATTAGTACAGTCGTAAAGTTGTTGTGTACAGAAATAAGGAGATGGTATCAATCGAACATTTGGTAGCATGGTCTTTGTCTATGAAATAACTATTTTAGTAAAAACAACGTTTTTTTCCTATCTCGCTGATAGTCGCAGCCTCAACAATTAAAACTTTTTTTTTAATTTGTAATAAAAATGGTCCTCCGGTTATGCATTTTAAATAGACGCAAATAAAAAGTTACACTTATTAGATATTTATATAATCAATTCGCAAGGGTATATATACATATATTAATTAATCAATTCGCAATTCAATTAATAGCCTTGATATTAATATTCTCAAATTGTCAGCAAAACATCAATTTTATTATAAAGGTTTTCGGTTAAAGGCCCTATTTTGTTTTATCAGAAGTAATGCAAAATAGCAAAAACTTTGTTAGACCCGATCGGTAGAACAACCATTTTGCCCAGTACTGTATTCGGGTGTTTTCGGAACTCCCCTCATCAGCGTTTAGTCCGTACTGAGGCCCTGCTTCCTCAGCACCGACCCAAAGGACTGCCGCCCTTCACCCAGAAAACCCTATCTTCCATTGTCGGATCCATTTGACAATAACATAAATTGCATTTTTTCCTTGATAATGCAGAATCGATGCATGATGCAACATTTCTTGTTGTGGACGGGGAAAGGTTTGAGTGTCAGATCCTGCCAAAACTGGAGTAAATTTTAAATTGATAGTTTTGAAGCACAGAAGATATTGAAGGTACATCTTAAATATGCGCTGCATATTTGTTTATTGTTTAAAAATAAATTTCAAAGCGTCAAAACATAGTCAATTACTTTTTATTGATCATATCTATGTACATTTTTATAAGGTATTAGTAAGAGGATAACTAAATAAAATTAAATTTATACATATATACATTTCATTCAGTAAGGTATTGGTATATGCGATTCTTTTATTACAAACAAACAAATAACAGTTACTCATATTAACTAGAAAACCATTACATGTAGGAATATATCAGAAGCAATGATATATTTATATATAATATGCTCATTATATGGTATGTTTTAAGTTTGCTGAACGTCGCTAGAAACCGAATACAATATTCACAAAATACAAGTTGCTTATTAAATTCCGTTTCGTTTATTTTAAACATAGCAAATAAAAACCTTTCAAAAATATTTCTTTTCTAGGATTGAACTGGATTATTTTTAGTCAGTGCCTTTTTTACAAATCGATAGATAGTTTAACAAATAACAGTTTATAGTATGTTTTAATTTTATACTGGTAAAATATTGAAATTTTTTTTTTTATTAATATTAACTTTTAACTCTTTGTATGATATAATAATGTATAATTTCTGTGAGCGTAAATGTTAATTTCGATGTGATAGTCAGAACAATGTGAATCGTTAATACAAACTTTATTGCTATTTCTTATACTCTAACGAAAATGGACCTTGTTTAGATTGAAAAGACATATGTAAACTTTAGATTAGATAATGCAAAGATTATGCTTTATTTTTGATTCAGAAACAGAAACGTGTTATATTTGTTTGTGAAAATTTGGATAATGTAGAAGACTCCTTTTGATAAATATTTTATCCTTGACTAGTAATCGGACATCTTCCAAAGAGGGACAGGACTTATTGCGCTTGTATGCGGACTTAATAAATACGCTGTGAACTATGGTTTTGTTTTTTAGTCGATAGCTAAAGTTGGAAACAGAATAACAAGGTAATTTAAATTTTGAAGTTAGACTTTCAGTAAATTTATCGTTGTCGACAATCGTATGGATTGTCTACTTGATTTTGCGAACCAAAGATCGACATCCCCTACAATGCTTTCTAATGATGCAGTTCGATCGCTCAATTCATTAAGTCCAACTTCCGTTGTCAAAAAGCCGTTTTGACCTTTTAAAACGGTAGTTTCATTTGAGCTCTGTGTGGTGTGAGTGAAAGAATTCATGGTGTCGGTTGGCTGAATTTCTATAAATGCGTGCCTCTTTTGCAATGAAACTGAGTGATCAAATTCGCTCCCTACAGTTGACAATACCGTACTAAACTCGCCAGGCCTTCGGCCGGATACATATAGTGTTACTATACTTGGATCTGGATGTTGCACTGCTAATTGACTTTGTTTACTACGCTTGTGTCCACTGTTTCCTTTTCGTGATTTCTTTCGGTGGTTTTTTGTAAACTGCGACTCATTGCTGACTGACTCAACATCCGCATCGGTCCCAGCATTATCGATTACATCCGTTTTTAGTAATGACCGCGATAAATCGTCCAAGTCCTGCAGGTTTTCACCTAAAAATATTGGTGGGGGTAAAGTGTTCGATATAGCTTGAGCCAGCGACAAAGACTCCTGCTGTTGCTGAATAAGTAACTGTTGCAACAATAAATTGTTTACATGAGCAGCCGGTCCAACAGACTGTATATTCTGCACAGTTGGTGTGGCAACTATGGTGTCTACACTATATTCTGTAGCTGTTATAGTTTGTGCAGTAGTATCATAGACAGTAGTTAGAATCTTTTTACCCTGAAAGGTCACCGGAAGTATGGTAGATTTTCCATCAAATATTGTAGTTACATATGTGGAAGTGTGGGTACGATATTCTGTGATAGGTTCAGTGGGTGAAACAACTGATGCGACATTTGGATTTCCGACAGCACCTATTATTGGGTGAGCGGGTAAGTTCAAATTTCCCAAAAGTAACTGGGAAAGCAATATGTTAGCAAGCGGTGCATTATCAGAAATTTGAGGCTGAATTGTAGTTACTAAGTACTCTACAGAATATGCTGTGGATGGAATAATATGTGAAAAGGACGTCTTCCTACCGCGTATTGTAGTTGGTGTAAATATTACAGAACTAGTGACAGATTCATGCAACAAATATTTTGTTTGTTCTGTGGCACCAGCAATATTTATACTAGAGATTTCCCGGTTCAGGTATAATGAACTCAATCCGTTGGTCCCTAATACTTTTACATACTCATTTGGACCCAACAGTTCGGTGCTCGTTTTGGCAGTGACAATGTTTTTGTACTCAGTTACATGACCGCTAACTACTGGTATAGTAACCTCAGATGGTAGAAAATGAGTAACTGTTATAGTTTGAACTTCATGTTCTATAGATGGCGAGTCAGAGGGGTATTCAATTCGATTACGACCCCGACCCCTTCCTCTATTCAATGTGTTAGAGTTCGAATTTCGGGAACGGGGCGTACTTGGTAATCGTCCGTGGTCGGCATTATTCTTGTTGTTATAGCTAGCATAGCTCTTTAGCCTGCGGGTGCTTGAATTTCCTGTATTTGGTCCAACAGGTCGCCTTACTGAGGCATTTGCAGATGTTTGTTGACGTCGAAAGTTATTAGTAGAACTTGAACGCGTAGTGCCTTTTAAAGTAGCATCTTTTTCTCTTAACGTAAATTGAGGGCGTTTTGTTGTCGGCCTAGTCGGCCGAATTGTTCTTAGATTTGTCGCTGTTGTTAAGTCCATCATTGTTGTCTGCGCGTGGAGGGAATGCCCCTGTGGAGAATGAAATCTTGATCCGAATCTAGAAGATGATTTATCCCTCGGGGATGATGTAGACTCTGCACGATCGTCAGAGCCCATAAGCTTTGATTCTTCTTTGGTAAATGTCGCTGTTTGGTTTTGACGACGGAATCGAAATCTGTTTCTTTTTACTGTATCTGCTTGCCGACGAACTCTCCTTCCAGATTTAGAGCGCGATAAAATGCGAAAAGAGCGCTTACTACGGTCAACCTTTTCCTGTAGCTCATATTCTTCAGCGTTGCTAGCATCATCTTCTTCAAATTCAGAATCATCTATAGAAACATTATCATTTGTTTTCACGTCCTTAAGACTTTCATCCTTCTGCTGACTTTGGAATAGTCCTCGCGGTGGAAAAAGTGTATTTTGCGGTCTTATTCTTGGCTGGAGACCAATAGGCCTCTGAAAACTTCGAGGCCGAGGATTGGCCGTCGTTGTTGTTGAGCTGCTTGTTGTTGTGGAAATTTTTGAACGGACCGATAATGGGTTTCGTCTGAGCGAAACTCCTGCGGAAATGGAAGTTGGACGGGTAACTGGCGTAAAGCCACTGGGTCCATTTATAGGCCTACGAAATCTCAGTAGAGGGTTGCTATTGCGTTTAGAGTTTTCTTCCTCATCAGCATCTTCATCTGTTGAATTTTCTTCTTCAACACTACTTTCTGAGCTTAGCTCCTTGCCCAATGTCACGGACTGGGTAAGCCTATCGCTTACCAGTAACCCTGAGTTAGTTGGCTTTATGCGTAATCTAGAGTTGGATATTGCAGAAACACGAAATCCGGGAATATTTGATGAACGATAAGAAACATTTATATTTTGTCTCCTGGAACTAACGACTGGGCGTGAGGATGAAGCAAACCGATTCTTCGAAGGTAAAAAGGCAAGATTAGACTGGGGAGTACTATCCGCTTCGATTAAACTTGTCAATGACTTAGTTGGTCGCCCAAACAGACGTCTTGATGGCTGCCCTTGGAATAAACTAGACTCGTTGGGATTAATTGGTACATTGGAAATTATACCCCTTCGCGACGAGCTATATCTACCGGCAGATTTTAAAGCAGGAGTTGCCGTAATAGTGGGTGTGATATCCGATCTTGTTATTATTGTCGCGCTACTTGGGGCTAAAGTTTTCTGTTTTGGTGCGAACGTAGGTCTGTTTCGTGAGGCAAAAGGCCGTATTACAGGTGCGAATGCCCGCTTCGTACTTTGTGGTGAATAATTTGACAGCCCTTCACTAGTTACATCCGAATCTGAAATAGTATGTTCATCACTTACAGATGTGGAAGTTTTTGTTAGCTCAATAGAACTGGCATGTGCCATATTAGAGATTTTAACAGTTGTTGGAAGCAAAATATCGTCAGACTGAGACTTTTCAAAGAAAAAACTTGATGTACTTTCTATTATTTGTGCATATCGATTGTCTATGACAGTTCCAATAACTTTTGATTGGTATAAGGTTGTAGTACTATTTTGTATACGCTTTCCTTCAATGAGCCTTACTAAACCCGTTCTATACAATTTTAGGCTGGATAAGCTATCATCAAGTGAGTTAGCTGACAGCTTGGCTAAAATTGACTTTTTGGACTCGTCAATTTGTAGTCGTGATGTGCTACTGGTTACTAAAATATCATGTCCCTCACTGTTCATTGATGTTAAAATTTCCGTTGTAAAATACAAAGTGCTGACTTCATCTGCATCAATTATTTGTTTATAATCGTACAAAACAGCATCCGGTGCACCAGTTCTAGTCTGTTGATCTATTGAAGTAACAGGCTGACTAGGTTTAAGCTCTATTGCCAAAGTGCTTGACAATGAAATATAATCCTCGTTGGATGGCACTAAATTTGTAACAGTTTCGAATCTTGAATCGATAATTGTCATATTAACATCATATGATGTGGTATAATAGGTATAAGTAGTATAATATGTGGTAATGTCAGAATGAAGGCTTTGATCAGTTAACGTGGAAATTATGGAATTTTCATAATTGGATTTCCAATGAATATTCGTATCGCTATCCGACAGACCTAAATTTTCATCAGTTGTCCGTGAATCATTAACAGCTAATACTGTGACGTTAGTTGGATCTATCACATTGGATATCGTTTCCTCTCTGCTTAATGTTGTAATCTCACCATCCTTTGCCAACTTCGTCCAATATGTAAATGTTGTATAGTAAGTAATAGGAAATGAAGAATCCTCTAAGTTTACTATTTTTGTAGGTTGCAAAGTTTCAGTACCCACGTTGGTTACAGTTTCAAGACGACTGATAATATTTGTGTCATCACCTACATACATTGTCGTATAAAAGGTAAATGTTGTAAAGCTTGTTTGGAGAAGAAACGTTGCTGATGGTATAATCTCCTCCGTATTACTTTCTGAGCTTACTTGGTCGTCCAGGGGACTCTTTTTAATAAAAGGTTTTGTATTGCCCATGTTGCTTGAGTTGCTCGAATTTACACCTATTTCAAATGTCATAAGTTTTTCGTTTGTCTGCTTCGTGTCGTCTGCTTCGGATGCCGAGATATTTAGCTTAGTGGTTTTCTGATCGCTTTCCATAATATAATTGGTTTGAAAGTTCGAAATTTTTTCAGTTATATAATTTGTGACTACCTCGGTTCGAGTTTGTATTTCAGTATCATTATCTGTGAAAATCGATGTATAATATGTATATGTCGTGAACAAGGTTTTACTATATTTTAAATCGTCGAGAAAGTTAGTTAATAACTGGTCGGTATTTTCTTTTTCAGCGGTATTTACTTTACTTTCCTGGATTAATAGACTAGCAATCTCGACAGGGATAGTAAACTTGGGTAATAAAGGTGAATCTTTTTGGTCAGCTAGCCGCATTGTGTTTTCAGAAATCTGGTTTTCGGCAATATTATCCAAAGTGTTTGACTGAAAATCAACATTAGACGGAAGTGTTGAAGAAGCGATATTTGTTATGATTTCTGTGTGGCTAGATATGGTAGTGCGAGACCCTTCAAAGAATGTTGTCAAATATGTGTAAGTAGTATATAGCGTTTTATACAATAGATCAACATCATCAGTAGCACTATCGTAGTCGTCATCTTCATTTTCATAATCATTTTCTGTCGTCACATCATAGTCTTCCGAGTCTCGAACTGTAGTTTCGTCTACATCATCTATTAACTCAGTAGACATTAAATTGCCATGTCGCTCTTTAACAGTCTCTTGGGACGTATTACCATCATTCAGTTCTGTCTTTTGATTCGATTGGGAAGCTTGTATGCAATAGAATTTAGTAGTTTCTACAATGTTATAAGCAAAAAGAGGATTGGCATCAATAACAATACTATCATCGCCAACATTCGGTGTCTTTAGCATCTGAGTAAGAAATACTTGTGAAGTTGTTTGGTTGCATAATTCTTCAAAATTATTCTCGTTCTCATTACTTGCCCCAATAACTGGTTTATCACCAAAACTGTCGCTATTAACGTCAGTAACAGTTTGATAGGTAATACTATCATGCATTTCATTTCTTTTAGATACTTCAGTTTGTTGAAAAGTTTTTTCTTGGTCAGCAGAATTTAATTTTGAGCTCGAAGAATTGCTTAGCTCAACAAAACTTGTGAAAGGATCGTCATCAATGAATACAGTTGTAGCGCCTTCCTGTTTTTGAATGATTGGTTCAATGTGATTTGTTGAATTTTGCGAACAATCATTAGTATAACAGAGTGAAGATTGAAGATTGTTAACTTCACTTGAAATCAATAGGACATCAGATAAAACCGAACTATTTTCTACCGTCTCAGAAAATATATTGTTAAGGTTCGATGTTGACAGAATAGTTGACTCTGAAGTTAATATGATATTCGAATGACTCTCTTCCTCACTTGAACTTGCAAAAATATCTGTCCCAAAACTTGACATTGTCGAAAAGATTTCGGTTTTGTTGAAGGTTGTGACCGGTTCTAAAGTACTCGGTGATATTTCGAGAGTTTGGCTGTTGTAGTCGTGCATTGACAAAGCTTGTAAAGTGGGCTTGCCTTTGATCGATGTAACGTGTCCAAAATGTTGAGTGCTCTGTATGGTACTGGGAGAAAAAACAATGACACTATCGCCAACAATAGTGGTAAACTCTGCAAATCCGTAATATGTTACTGAAGATAAGACTTGTTTATGGGGAGATTTTCTAATATGCTCTTGTTCTTCAACATTTTGTTCTGTACGTGATTTCTGTTCATATTTTCGTTCTTCCCTTGAAGCATATAAGCCAGGGACTGTCTGGTTTGACGGAGAAAAATCACCAAAGTGACTTTTAATTGTATACGTTTCCAAATGTTCAATCGATGACACCTTATCATCAACGAATTTATTAATGTTTTCTTTTATTTGTGAGTCAAAGCTGGAAGTATTAGTGTTGGCTACAGGTTCCACAGATCCTAACGGTTTATCCTGATGATCAGGATTTCTTAGTTCTCTTACTTTTGTACTTTGTTGGATTACATAATCCGTGTTTCCCACAAATTCTCCACGATTTACGCCTAGGCTATCGTCAATATCCTGCCAGTCGGCGTCATCGGAATTAAAAAGATCATTATGACTTTGTAAAAATAGTGGTGTCTGATGAGAACCGTCTTCACCTACCCAACTAGTAACTACAGACGGTGATAGATTTTCGTTTTCATAAAGGACTCTGGAACTCTTTCGAAGGTATTGTGCGTAAAGGCGACCATTATTTAAAGTAGTTCCTACAATTTTAGTGGCAAATTCTGTTGTTGTTCCATCCTGGATAAATGTCCTGGCTGTTGATGTCAAAACACCTATTTCTGGGCGTACTGTCAAGAACCGTCCATGAATATCGCCCACATGTCCTGATTCGTTATTTACCAAAAGTACAGTGGTTACATCTTGAAATCCAGATAGTTTTTAAGACATGGTGATAATGTTAAATAGTAATTACAGTACGAAAGCGTGAAAATCAGATATATACATTATAAGAATCAGGGCATTACAATTGTGTAGAGGAATAAATTTAAATGTTAAAGTAAGTTAATATTTCCAGAATGTACATTCCAAAAGATGGTGAAATCATAGAAAGAAATAAAGAAAATTAATAAGAAATAATGAAAATACTTTAAAATACAAAATGTTATATAGTTCTAAAAGATTTATTCTGAACCGGCATTCATATCAGTTTGATAAAAATTAGAATACTTATAATTTAAACACAACAAAATGACGATGCAAAATATAAAGGTGTAATTAGAACATAATTGTTCGGGATATTGTTTTAAAATTCTTACCATCTGCAGCTATCGCTTGCAAAGTTGGGGTCGGACTCACAAGAAAAGGTTGATCTGTAAATAAATGTCATATTTCTCAATAAACTAAAAGATATCTTAAGCGTCTAAAGTAAATTAAATTATTTGATTAAATAGCTCGTCGTGCTTGCAATCTCGACAGTTTCATAAAAACTTGTAACAATTGTAAACTTGTCCAAGAGTGTTTACATTTGCAATACAAAACATGCTGCCTTGAACAAGAGTGTCACAACCAAAATAAATTTCTCCATTAAAACAAATCTCGGCGCCACAGAAGTCTTGGTCTGATTTCAGGTTCTCAAACTCTAAAAGATGTTTTCATAATAAAAGACTACTTACAAATGTATGTACTATCTACATACTATAAACCATTCTGATATGGGTATAACATTGCTCGAACTGAAAAATTTCAATTAGTTTGCACAAGACAGAACAGAATCAAACAATTTGTTCTTGTTTAATTTTGTTTCCAATTTCTATAAGACAAACAAGAGAGAACTCTATAGTCTAGCGTCTCGACTATCAGATACCCGTTACTCAGCTTTTAAATTTAAACACTTTGCCACCTTGGGTAAACGACCCTCCGTTTCTATCTATATGTTGCATGTGAGTGCACTGCAGCTGCGTAGAGAGCAATTTTAGCTTTACATTAACCTAATCGCAATTAGACAAATGAAATAGTATTAAGTTTATTAGGAAGAGAACTGTAGAGACAAAAAAGTCAATTAATTTAAATTATTCATTATTTAATAGAATACGTTAGCTGCGCACTCTGCTCTCTCTTAGCGCTAGCAGAGTCTTTCACTCTCATTTTTCTGCACCTGATTATGTTTCTGGCAGCGTCAAGAAAGAAAGAGCAATCCATCAAAAAGACTAACTCCGTTTAATATTATGTATGTTTGCTAAACATGAACAATCTTAAAGCGCCTTATGTGTGTAAACTTAAATCTAAACGTTTGCATTCGTTGTTCAATAAAATATTTGGTCGAACAGCTTTTTTTAAAAAGAGTTCTCATTTCCGCGCAGTTCGGCTTGCAGCTATTTACACCCACGTGCACAAAGCAAGGGAATCTAATTCTGAAATCCCAATTCTCTATCTCTGAAAGTTTCACAGAAATCAGCGTCAAAATGTACTGTTTTTTAAGTTTGTGAGCGTTGAAGTTGGCGTGGCAACATTGTTTAAGGTCAGTTGGTGGGTATTGACGAGAACACTACATTTCAGCTAAAAATCTAGCATGAAAAATTTAGGGGCACAGTTGATTTGCATGTTCGCATAACGAATTTCTGTCTAAAATTATATCAGCCTCTGGGAGGGCATAAAAGTGAGCACAGCGAATAAGCATTTACGAATAAATTTGTTTTAAATGTAGCAACGAGAGTATATATAACTTCGACTTGCCGCTTGTTTCCTTTCTTTTTACTTATTAGAGATGCCCACAAACACCAAAATCAGCCACAGCACCAGTTTAAAACCGGTTTAGCTTGTGAGTACCTCACTTGGCCCGTTTAATATAGATATAAACTTACACATATAAATGATTTTGAAATTTCGCAATTCTCATGAGCTTGGGGACCCTAACCATTCACAGTTGATTTTAATCTACATTTATTTTTGAATGGATTAGGCTTATAAGTATCGCCGTTGTAGTCAGAAAAATGCATATAGATGTAATTTGCACCAAATTGGGAAAGCTACAGTGTTTTTTGCCATACTCACTTATTGCTTGGGAGGCATCAATGTGGACTATAGTTAATATCAGTGCGGTTAACAGAGCTAAGCTCCAGTTTTGATTGTGATATATGAAACATATCATGTTTATTCGAGAGGGAAGCGAGCTGATTTTTTTAAAGCGAGAATCAGATATCCTGTTGGGTTCGCGTGGCTGCAGCATTTTGATCCTTTAAAACATGTTAAGAAAAAATTCACTTATAGATGTGTTTTAAAAAAGTAAGCTATCTTATATCCGATAGTTTTAAGATATGTATTTTAAAGGTTGTAAGTAAATTTGACCTTTTTTATTATACTGATTTTTTTATTTTCATAATATCTGTAAGGAAACCGTTTTACAACAAATAGTGATAAATAAAATACCCTAATACACCTTCACATAAATGCGTAAAACACCAAAGCGAGTTTTGAAATCGATTAATATTTTGAGAAACCGCACGTCTGTCCGTTGAAACGAAAGTCAGAGAACTGATTTCACTGGCACAATAAAAGACTCATCCGGTTGTTGCTTTGTATTCAAGCTTCACGAATGTGGTTTGGCTGGTTTAACCAACTAGCCAATAGTTCCCTTTTAACAATTAATAAAACTTTTACCCCACCCTATAAATAAATAAAGGAAGCTTCAATAGCTTCAAAAATATTAATTATCACGAATATGTGTAGATTTCGAGTAACTAACCAAGAGTATTTAAAATTGTACTTTTCAATCTTGAGTGCTTAAAGACTTTGAGTAAAGCCCCAATCAGCAGTATTACATCAGATGTATAAAACATCAAAACTCTTATGTCTATTGCTACAACTGCAGTTGCACGGAAAAAATTAGAACAACAATGTACTGACATGGGTTAGCCCCTTAAAGCGGGGACCGAAACAAAGTAACAATACTGAAAAAGAAAACACAATAACTGTAAAGATTTAAGAAATACAAGGAAAACAAGGAAGAACCGTATAGTGCAGTGCGTCGACTTTCAGATACCTGTTACAAGCGGAAAAGAGAGATTGAAATGCGTCATTTACCCGCGATCTCAATATATGGTTATGGTTATACAGATTTACTTCACATCGACGAAAACCGCGAGCTAACCATAGGAGTGAGCGAGAGGCAAACACGCGGCTAACGCTTTTAGTCGGGTCTGTTTTTCAGCGCGGTATTCAGATGAGCTATGGAAATACCAGACAAAATACCACATTTAGCGATTGAGTTTCGATGAACGCCGTTAGCCGCGGTCCAAAGAATAAGAAATTTAATCTTTGGCGGTGTTCGTGCAAAGGCGATGTGGAAACTAAAAATAAAAAAGGGAAAGAAAAGCCCGAAAATCGACTGCAGGAAGTCAGTGCAGATAAAATAGGACGCCTAATCCAAGCTGTTGCCCTTTATTGTGGGATTTTACCGACAGGAAGCAACAGGGGCAAATCCGCAGAATAGTTGAAGTGCTGGAGGAGATCCACTAGAGAATCCCAGTGGTAAGGAACATTCTGAGTGGGACTTCGCTTTCTACATGGACATCCTGCCGGGCGTGTGCTCGCAAAGAAAGTAAGATCTGGCCAAAAGAATTTGGTTGCGTTGTACTAATAGAGGTGTCTTTTTAGCAGAACCACCAGTAATACGATCTCCAAAGACCTCTCCATTAGGACTCCGGACAACACCACCACCATCTACTTGGCTTCTATAGGGAGGAAGAAAATAGGGCGCCCGCTAAGGAACAGTTGGAGAAGCCGTAGCCAGCTACTGGCAGGATGCTGGGAGACTTCCTGCAGCATCAGCGGATCAACCGCTTTCCCAATCCGGCTCCCACTTTCTCATGGACCAATATGCCTATTGGGACTCGGAGCTGGACAGCGGTGGCGCGGGAAAGATGGCGAAGCATTCGTGGGACGAGAAGGAAGCTTAAAACTACTAATTTACATAAATATAAACATTCGTTAAACATTCAATTTATTTTTATTTAAAATTCTTTGAGTACCAGCAGACTTATTTTTAAATTTCTCCAATTGATTTGTTTTCCGTTTGGCAACAAACCCAGCTGCTTGACGTAAGACCATGCTACATGCATTGCGGGTGCACTTTGAAAACTTCGGTCACACTACAAAGAATAAGATTTTTCGACTAGTGAAACTTTTAGACGATCTGAGTACTATGCTTTATGAGCGTTCCAGTGGGCGTGGCAAACTTTTTTTGGGTCAATCGATAGGTATAGACGAGACTAATACATTTCAGTTAACATTTTTTTTTATCATGAAAATTGTGGGCGCCACAGGTTTGGGCGATTAGAGTGGGCGTGGCATATTCGCGTAACAAACTTGCGCTGCGTACAAGGCTACGAAATCTAAATCTGAGATCCCAATTTTCTTTTTTTTATGGTTTCCAGGTATCCTCTTTCATATTTAGGATTTTTTGAAGTTTGTGGGCGTTAAAGTGAGCGTGGCCAACTTTTTTTTGGTCTATTAATGGCTATTGTTGAGAACAATACATATCAGATAAAATTTGTATTCGAGCATCAAAACAGTAGGAACCACAGTTTTGGGAGATTTGTGGGCGTTAGAGTGGGCGTGGCACCTTGCTTTTACACTTATAAAATTATTTTTCTGAATACTAGAAAAATCGCCCTAACAATAAGAAAAGTCGCCCTAAAGATAGGAAAAATCGCCATAAAAATTATGTTTTAGGGTTAATTTTTCTAAAATGCCAATTATTTCTATTAGTTAAGGCGAATTTTTCCGAGCATATGCTTATAATATTTTCTCACATTTAGGACAAATCGCCATATTTCGTAAAAGAAAAAATCATCTAAAATCGCCCTTGAAACTAGAAAATCGGCCTTGAAGTTTGAAAACCTAGCGGTCTAATGCGTTGAACTTTCAAACTCATCTAAATAACGTGAGTTCAAGCCCACGAAGAGTCAACATTTATTTTTCTTAAAAGTTTTTTAAATTGAATTCTTATACAATTTTGTGTGCAAAAGCTAAAAAAATTTTAGAACACGTAAAAATAATAAACAAAAATAATGTTTACACTAAAAAAGAAACACCATAAATATTAGAAAATCGCCCGTGATTTTAAAACGCCATTGAAATAAGAAATATTTTCTTGATTATAGATAAAATGTCTAAAATTTACGAAATTCGCCATAATTTTTTTTTGTAAAGCAGAAGAGGAAGAATCGCATTTTTTTCTTTAATTAATGGCGAGTTTTTATATTTTTTTTCTTGAAATAATTGTAAATTCTTACTTAAATTTAGGAAAGAAATACCCATATTTTAAGAGAAAGTGACTTTTTTTATACATTTTGATGGTGGTCTAGCTGGTAAAGACGTCCGGTCAATAAACAATCGAACAATAGTACCTGGTTCGAGCACACGCCACGGCAAGTGTACCCTTTTTTTATTTATTTATCTCTTTTTTTTAAATTTATTTAATTTGTATTCTTATTAGTTTCAATTTTCTATTTACCAAATTGTTTAAACGGTTGTTAAAATGGATTAGATTAGAATAAACATTATTGGTATGCGTCCAGACATTTGTTATTTATTTGTTTATAAAAAGTATTTATATAAAATAAATCTTTAATAAATTCAGGTAAATATGACTGTGGACGGAAGTACACGTAGTGGCGAAGCGCGCAAAAGAGCGTGCGAAGACAACTACTATAATATAGCCACGGAATTGAAAATCTGCCATTATGGTCCGATCGTAACGAGTGATACACCAATCAAAAGGTATCACACTAACTAAAAAGATTGCATACCAAGACTTTCGAATTATAGATTTGTTTGGGAAAAAAGCGGTGAAAGTGTAAAAGTAAAAATTTAAAAAATTGGAGCTGCATGTTACGTTATTTTTATTCTTACTGATTTGTTAAAATCCAATGTCCCGTTTAAAAGTAATTTAAAAAAAATCCAATTTGATGAAAAATATTCCTATTAGATTTTTTCAAACGGAAAACCTGTTATGGTTTTAGGGTCCCTTACTTACATGAAGCTAATCGAAATAGGAAACTTGATCTATTTGTTCTACCACTTTGGAAAAACCCGCTAGTTCGGCGGGAAATGTAAAAAACGACAGATTTATCTTGGAATCTGAAACTATACAGCCCTTGAGATTCCAAACTTGTGCTATTAAAATAGGTAATTGAAGCGATAAAACTTGTTATTAAAAAGTTTAATATTCATATTAGATGTTTCATTCTTATTAGAATGTGAATGAAAGCAAGAATAAAGTTATGCCGAAGTGGAACGTGAAAGTTTATTAAAGTCCTTATACATTTTTTAGAATTATATATTTATTTACTTAAAACTAATGAAAGAAATACTTTTCTACGCTATAGTGCCTAATTTAAGGCGGAGTTCAGCTAAGATTAGGGGTCGAATCTGTGTGTTTGGTTTTTCAATAGCCAAGCCATATGGGGAAGACTCCTAGTCATGGTATTGGAGTACTTAAACTCTTGTGCAAAAAAAAAAACTTCTGATATCAAACAAAAACACCTCTTAACGAGGTAAAAAGTAGTGGCGAACGCTCCTTTAACAAAAATTTCTGATATCAAAAATTGTGACGAAAAATGATATTACATTCTATAAAATAAATAAACTATTATAAATTTATGTATTCGGCAACAGAAAATTTACGTGTAGGTAAATAAATATTTACTATTGCGGGCCGAAATCATGAATTTAACATAGTTTATTTATTTTATCGAATGTAATATCATTTTTCGTCACAATTGTTGATATCAGAAATTTTTGTTAAAAGCTCGTTCGCCACTACTTTTTACCTCGTTCAGAGGTGTTTTTGTTTGATAAAAATTTATAGACTATATTCCCATGTAATAATTGCCATTGAAATTAGAAACGGTTTTATCCATGTAAAATCCAAAATTGGTATACAAAACCAACCAAATTCCTCAAATGTAAGAAAAGGTAACCTTACGTTATAAATAATTTTTTCTTATTTTAAGAAAATGTTTCTTAATTTTAAGGTTCTTCTTCGGAGTCATCGAATTCTGTCATCGCCTACTTTTAAAAAAAATTATTAAATTGGATTGTGCTATGCGAATCAAGAAGGAGAACGCACTACCGGCCAATTGAGGAGTTCAACAGTGTTGTTCCTTAAGAAGATATCGTCGTGTTAGTAGCTGTCATCAGCAAAGCAATCGACTGGGCACCAACACTGTTGATCGAGACAACATCAGTTGGTTCTTGCAGAGAGAAACATGTAAGTTGTAGAACATTTGTCCGTGTTAATTAGACCCGTTACACAAATCTTCGAAGTATTTTAAATATATACACGTATTGAAAATCAAATATAAGGCTCATCTTGTTTTAATTTATTGAAGTTGGTGTGCAAAATAGTACCTTACCACAACATGTATTATTTCTAGATTACGTTAACGAGAAGTGCATGCCGATGCCGATACCACGAGTAAAACTAACGCGTTTATATAATGCTCAGATAAATTTGGAACTTGGATTGCACTTGGATATTAATAATGCCTAACACAAACATCAAGAAGGTTATCTAATATATCATCGTTTCGGCTATATTCAGAGCTATTATGGAGGTAATGAAACTGTTCATCAATGCTGTCCACTAGGGGCCGGAAGTTAGTATAATCATAACTAATTCTTATGTTGCACGGGTGGCTAGGACTGGATACATCATTTGATATATTTCGGTCTTCTATGATAGCTGTATTCGATGCAAACACAGGAGTCGTATCCGAATAACTATTTATGCTATTGAATGTGCAAAAATCGTCTTCTCCAGATACCGGCTAGAATTTATATTTAAATTATTTTTAATCTTTTTATGTATAGTATAAGTCTTACCGTGTTGGTACTATCTATCCTGTGGGATATGAAGCAGTTTAGGCTTTGAGGCTCTGCTATGAGTTCTCCAGTGCTTACTATAATTGTGTCAAGCTTTTTTTTAAAAATATCCTCTTTAATCATTGTTTGTATTGGACATTTTTCATATTGAATTTCATTTAGCTCATCGGTAGTACCTTTATCTAAGAATTCCGTAAAGTTATCATCCGTGAGCGTTGACGATATCTTTTTTAAAGTATTTGTTTCTGATATTTCTGACAAGCTATTTTTATTAACCTTTTTTGCAAACCTTGAAAAGCATGGCTGAGAAGATTTTGCTTGCTGCTTATGAGTTAACTGATCATTATGGTATTTTGCAGTCTGATTAAGTTTTGAATGACATAGTTTTCTATTACGAATGCGTTTTCGGTCACACTTTTTCGGGTCAACACCCAACTCCCAGTATCCGCCTTTTCCTTTTTCTTCTCTTTTTCTGTTACGAAAGCAGTGATGTAGTGATAAGTTGTGCCTTATAGAGTTCTACATAAAGTTTTTAAATTAATTAACACAATTTACAAAATGCGCTTTAAAATTACTTACATTCCATTTCTTTCGGACTCTAAAGAATGCAAACTTAGCCTCTATCCAAGCACATAATTGTTGTAAGGTTATACGACCATTTTTTAGCATAGCCATCCCAATTATATGTGAGTAGTTAAAAGGTGGTTTCTCAGTCACGTCGGTTTCATACTTACTTGCAAACTTTTCGTATTCTGTTAAATCCCTAATAAATTAAAAAAGAATTCACAATTCTACTGGAATATAAGGAAGAACGCTATAGTCGAGTGCCTCGACTATCAGATACCCATTACTCAGCTAAGGGAAGCAAAAGACAGATGGAGGTGTACTAGCAGCTAATTGTAAAGCGCCACCTAAACGAAAATTCAATATATGGTAAAGTGGGCGTCAGACAAATTTAGGGGCCATGGGCGTTTGTGGGCGTGACACATTAGCGTAAGAAACTTGGGCTGCGTACGATGCTAAGGAACCAACCTTTATAATTTCCGAGATATCCGCGTTCATATGGGCGTTTTTTTAAGTTTGTAGGTGTTGTGTGGGCGTTTAAAGGAGGAGGCAACATTTGTTTAGGTCAATCTGTAGGTATTTACGAGAGCAAAATATTTAACTAACAATTTTCTTAAAGCTGTTGGAACCACAGTTTTAGGCGGCTTGTGGGCGTTAGAAGATAAGGAATCCGAAGATAAGGAATCCAAATCTAAAATCTGAACTATCTAGCTCAATAATTTTCGAGATGATATCGTTCACACGGACAGAAACACTAGAGATCCTGGTCAAGAATTTATATACTATAAAAGGTCAGTGACCCATCTTTCTACCTGCTACATAGTTTTCGCCAAATACAATATACCCTTTTACTTTACAAGTAATGGGTATAAGAAGAAAATTCCTAACTTACATACCTTTTTACTTTGTTGACAAATATTTCAAAGCGTTCTGATGGAGTTGGTCGTTTTGGTGTTGTTTTCTGTGCTCTCGAATCTAGGATTACCTGCGATTTTTTAACTGTGTTTTCGCCTCGAGCCAGTTTTATTTGGTTCCGATGAATATTTGTATTGTTAGGTACAGGTGTCTCGGCTTCTTCTCTCGTATTTAAAGTTTCCCTTGTACTTGAATCAATTGTTTTCGGCCAAGTTAAATTTTGATTTCGCAAAAGCCAATTAAGATTTGTTAGCTCGCGCTCTTCGTCGGAGTCATCTGCTTCTTGAAAGGAAGTGGTGTCTTCTTTATTCGATTGTATCAGAGCATTGCTCTTAGATAAAAAAGTATCGGGGTCTGTCATCGCCTACTGTTGTGAATAACAAAAATTATTTAATTGAATATATATGAGGTAAACTGAACCAGTTGATATTCTTAGCTGCCCGTGTTTTTACTAAGAGGTTGATCGCACGTTGCGGTTGCTCTTTATTCAGTATATAGAATATGGTATGTTTAGTGTGCATGTATGGTACATTTAGCAGAATATAAGTACTTTATAAATTATTTCCAGATTTATTAAAATTTTTTAAAGAAATTTACCAGTAATATTTTTTTTTTATTCACTAGTTTTAATAGATATGGGAAACGCCTGTAGGTTAGGGTGGTCTTTAAGTTTGGATAAACCTTCTCCAAGATAAAAACAAGAAAGGAAGTTAGCTTCGGCTTGCCGAGATAAGAGGGAGATAAAGAGTTGTATACCCTTGCAGTTATAATTATTAAATTTAATTCGAAAATCTTAAAAAACGGACGGACAGACGAACAGACGGGCATACGGATCAAGAATATATATACTTTATGGGGTCGGAAACATCTGCTTCAATCTCCTTCAATGCGTTGCAAACTTCTGACTAAAATTATAATACCCTCTGCAAGGGTATAAAAATCGGACACAGGGAATAGCTCTGCTTAGCCTCTTTCGGCACACATATAGCGTATAACAGTAATCATACAATTAAACTACAAAACGTCATTGTATTCCGTACCGACCGCTGTCATATAACGAACCAGATGCCCTTTCTGGTAGCAATGACTTTGGTAATGCCAAAGTCTCACAATGATTGCTATTTTTGCGTACGCAAAATAAAGTTTAATATAACTAAGAAATGGAATAAAATAAATTATTCAAACGTGTCTTCTGTCACATAGCCCGGTTCTAATTCTGTTCCGTATTTGAAAAACATCGAAGGACCCATGTCCTCCGAACGCCGACGTCTCTTTCGACAGGGATCCAAGCTGGTTATGCAGGCCGATTTAAATAACTTAGTTGGAGATATTGACTTATTAAATTCTGATGCAGAACTCTTTAAGTCGAGACTAAAAAAAACAAGAGAAGGACAACAGACAGACGGACATGGCTAGATCGACTCGGCTACTGATACCTTGTAGGGTCGGAAACGCTTAATTTTTCTTGTTACATACTTTCCGACGAATCAACTCTTCGAGTAACGGGTCAAGTTCCACAATTCAACTAAGAGGAGCGCAAGGGAGATAGATATGCAAGCAGCAAAGCAACCTTTTCCTAGAACTTCTCAATGAATGGTCGGACTAGAACAATTTGTACATGGATATTTATAGTCAAACCAAAATCCCATTTAGACTTTAACAGTCTTAAAATTGTGGGTACCAGACAGATTTTAGAGTTTTAGGGGCTTGTGGTCGTTAGAGTGGGCGTGGCACAAATTTATAAAATGTAAAGAAACAGGCTTACGCACTTTTTTACCCCGTTCGTATTTGATTTTTGAACGTCGTTGAGCGTCGATTATAACGCTAAACATTGCGCTTACGTTTTTGCAGATTTTTATCAGTGTAAATTGGTATAGATTTTAATGATCAATACGCATATCCATAATCTGAGAATAGAACAAGTCGCATTTCTAGTTTAAAAGTTATGAGTAACTAAGTTAAAAAGACTTCGCAAGATGAGTGGTATCAATACCCTTAGAAAATTCTTTTCACTCGACTATAGCGTTTGTTGTTTTGTTTGGTTCAAAGTTTGTGACGACTATATGCACTTTCTTAAATTTTCTCATTCCGCACACTGCATTAGAATATGCTTTTGGAGGTAAAAAGCTACAATATTTTTCTGAAGCAGAACGAATAAAAATATTTAGTGGATTTTATAATCATTTTTTATCACAAATGTAGATATTATATCTTTTGTAACTTGGAAAATTGTTTAAAACCACACAAAACCAATAACGGGTAACAAATATACATATATTTTGTAAGTAATTGGTTTTGTTCATTTCCTATTTACGAAACAAAAAGTTAAAATGTTGTTTTTTACTTTTTCATATTTTACCGAAATTTTTTATTTATAAGTTTTTCACATATGTAATTCGCGTACTTACGAGGTACAACTGACATTATTACAAAATAATATAAAGAAAAACCACCATAAGCAAAAATGTTGTTGTGCTTTCTCTACTGCTTTATTATAGGCTCTTAGAAATGTTATGTAACAGAAATTTATTAACGTTGAACAGCGTCAGTTAACCGCCATTTTGAAATAAATAATTTCTAAAAATTATATACTTGGTGAGTCATAAATGTGATTAGCCTTATGTACAGAAATACTTTGTTTTGTTAATCCATTCTATAAAAAATGTTCGTTTAAATGTACTTATATGCAACTCTTTAATACTTATTTTAAAGTTATACATTACTTTTATTTCTTGCAGAAACAACTTTTTTGTTTAAATATTTCTGACGAACTGCTTAAAGTGAACTGCACGGCCACTCTCTGCCATTGCACCTGTATCTCTGGTCTATGAGCAACCCTCATTTTTCTACAATACCAAAAAAATAATTTTAGGAGTTAAGGCTAGTTCTCTCGGCCTTATAGGGTCGAGGTGGTCGTCGCTCAGGTGGTCGAACACACACTTGGTCAAACGAGTTCATGGTTCAATTTAGTCGGCTACAAGTCTCGAACCGACGTTTTCCGACCAAAAAGTCCACAAATACCCCGATTTCTAAAGGGACAGAGCAACAACCCTATTCTACTATACATTTAATTACCTTTGGTCTGCACACCGTCGTGTGAAATATAACCACCACTATTCGTGAAATTCCTTAACCACTAACACCATTGTCATTATTACACCCTTGTATCGAAATTTTAACTTAAAGTTTTGGTAAATTTCTAGTATCCGCGAAGCACTCTAACCCTTGGTTTGTTTATTTAATAAAAGAACTCGGTAGCGAAAGGGACGTTAATAAATACTTCAGATTATACTTCCAGGATGATGTTTATTAGAAATGGGTTATTGTATACACAGGGAAAGTTCTTGATTTCTAATATTGATTATTTGAATTCTCAAAGCAAGAGAAAACGTTATAGTCGGGGCCCTCGAGTATCAGAAACCCGTTACTTAGCTTAAGGGAGTGCGCGGGTTAGTACTAACACGCCACCTAGCGTCTATATGAATGAAAGCTAGGTGGCGTGTTAGTGCTAGCGTTACCGAAGGCGACTGCCGATTGCTCTCAATGCATCCGACCGTTTACAGTGTATAGGTCGTGCTTATGAGACATAGCCGAATTCATTCATTTGTTTTTCTCAGCTGACAGAGATGAAAAAAATTAAGGGCGATAACTTAAGTGGATTGCTGCTAAGTGGAGAAGCAGCCTGTCGAAAAAAATGCATGATATCTTAAATGATGCCAGACGTCTGGCTTCATTGCTTTCAGCATTTCATAAACGCCAGTCGTTACAAATAAATTACGAAAACTGATTTTAATTGTAAAGAAACAACCTGTTAAAGTCATTGGCGTTGCCAATGTGTGCTTTTTTAAAATATTTAGATTATTTATAATCATTTTATGGAGAAAGTTTTTTAGGTACAGTTTCATACACGCGGACAAAGTCTCGGCGGGAAAGCTAGTTTTTATATTATTTCACCCAGAAAAAAATGACCAAAAATGGCCTAGAATTTAGGTAAAATTTGCCTGAACCTGGAGCACTAATGGCCTAGAATGTATGCAACGTTGTCCTAGATTTTAGGTAATTGGATGCCTAAAAATAGTATTTTAAGTACAAAAATAATTGGTTGGAACTCAGAAAAGCATTTTGCAACGAAATAAAAGAAGTTCGAGTCCTGCCCAAAACACATTTTATTTTATTTTTCTTTTCTAGTAAGTAAATCTGATGTATTTTTCAATACAACAATTATACTTAAAATTGCTAAGGAAATATTTAATAAGTCTCCTAAAAACTTACTTTGACTATTTTGGGCCAGGCTATTGAGATTTGGCGTGCAGATTCCTGAGCTTCTTACGCAGCGCAAGTTTGTTTCAGCTGAGTGCCACGCCCACTCTAACGCCCACACACCGCCCAAAACTGTGGCTCCTACAGTTTTGATGCTAGAATACAAATTTTAACTGAAATGTACGTATGTACCTATCTAATGACCCAAAAAAAAGTTTGCCATGCCCACATTAACGCCCACAAACCGCACGCAAACTTCAAAAAATCGTAGATATGAACGTGGATATCTCGAAAACTATCAAAGATAGAGAATTGGGATCTCAGATTTAGATTCCATAGCCCGCTCTAACGCCCACAAACCGCCCAAGCCTGTGCCGCCCACAATTTGTATGCTAGTTAAAACAAGGAAGAACGCTATAGTCGAGTACCTCGACTATCAGATACCCGTTACTCAAAGGGAAATGGAGATATGCAAGCAGCAAAGCGAGATTAAAATGCGCCACCTACCGGCGGTAGACAGATTTAAGCGTTATGGGCGTTAGAGTGGGCGTGGAAAATTTATTTTTGGATCAATCGATAGGTATTGACGACACCAATACATTTCAGTTAAAATTTCTTATCTAGCATGCAATTTGTGGGCGTCACAGGTTTTCGCGGTTTGTGGGCGTTTTAGTGGGCGTGGCAAACTTTTTTTTTAGGTCAATCGATAGGTATTGTTGAGAACAATACATTTCAGTTAAAATTTTCTATCTAGCATCAAAACTGTAGGAGTTACAGTTTTGGGCGGTTTGTGGGCGTTAGAGTGGGCGTGGCAGTCTACTGAAACAAACTTGCGCTGCGTAAGAAGCTCAGGAATCTGTACGCCAAATCTCAATAGCCTAGCTCTCATAGTTTCCGAGATCTCAGCGTTCATCCGGACAGACAGACGGACAGACGGACAGACGGACAGACGGTCAGACGGACAGACGGACAGACGGACAGACGGACATGGCTAGATCGACTCGGCTAGTGATCCTGATCAAGAATATATATACTTTATGGGGTCGGAAACGCTTCCTTCTGCCTGTTACATACTTTCCGACGAATCTAGTATACCCTTTTACTCTACGAGTAACGGGTATAAAAATTTAACTGAAATGTATTGGTCTCGTCAATACCTATCGATTGATTCAAAATTTGCCACGCCCACTCTAACGCCCATAACGCTTAAATCTGTGTACCGCCGGTAGGTGGCGCATGCTGCTTCATATCTCCATATCCCTTTGGTCCCTTTAGCTGAGTAACGGGTATCTGATAGTCGAGGTACTCGACTATAGCGTTCTTCCTTGTTTTAAATTTTAAATCAGCTTTTTCGGCTATTTTTATATCGATATTATGTCACAGCAGATTGTCTTCTATCGATCCTAATTGTCTTCAAGAGTTTCATCTTTATAAGCAAGTTCACGCTTAAACATATTTGTGACAAAATGCCGAAAGTTTTTAAGCAAAAATGTCGAGATGCTCGGCCTCAGCATCCTGATTTTAAGACATGGCCTCGCCAATACGATATATATATATATATGATTCCACAGAGTCTTCTGCAGTTATTGCAAGTGCACACTAACTGCAAAGTTAAGTGATTTGCGCGCACATGCAGTCATCAAAAAACACTATAAAACGAAGGACTGCTTAAATCAGACTAACAAGTTAGGTTTCTTCAAATTGCCAAATAAAACAATAGAGCACGAAGCTGCGTTGAGCCTCTTTGTAGCACAACACACAGCTATTGCTGAAATCGACCATCTTAGCAGCTTGTGCACTTCAATTTGGAGATAGTGCGACTGCAGGCCAGATTAGGCTGCATAGAACCAAGTGTACTGACATCATCACAAATGTTCTGGCGCCTCACTTCTACGATAATCTTCGCAGCGATGTCGGCGATTCTAAGTTTAGTTTGCTTTTGGATGAATCCCCAGATATAAGCGTTACCAAGCTTTAGGGTAAATATTTTATTTTATATGTATGTCGCTATGTGTTTGTCCACATAGGTGTCGTCGTAAACTATTTCTCTAGTCACCAGGGAGAGGAGTTCAAATCGACAATCTGAGTACAAAACTTTTTACCAATCCACAAACAATGACAAGGTTCGTGTGACTTTTGTAATCTCGTCTTAATTTTTTCTACATTTTTACTACTGGGTATGCTTATTTTAACATAGGTTTAGTGATGTCCGAGTGTAGATCGTAGTTATTCTCTAATGTGTTTGTCCCTCTTTGTCAGCAAAGCGTTTATTGTAGTCTAATTATAAGTAATATAATGTATTACTCTGGAAGGTACCATTTCAAATACCCAGAGTGTGTGACACCAGTTGGTTGTTTATTGAATTAGCTGTTTCCCAAATATTGGAACAATGACAGGAGTTAAGAGTACACTTTTCTTTAGGGGCAAAAAAAGCAAAATGTCATAAGGCCAAATTATTGCATTCCATGTTTGACGAAAATGTAAGCTACATATATTTAGTTTTATTAAAACCAATCCTAGTGGAAATGCAAAAAGTCAGCAAGTGCTTTCAAAGCAATAACACTGACGCGACGCGCTTGCTGAAAGATCTTGTTCTACCATTAATTCGCTAAAAAAAGCACATTATTCCACCAGATTGTAATATGGACAAAATAATAGATGATAAGGCTACCTTGGTTTTCCGGTAAGGAACATCTCCCTGATTAAGAAAAAAAAAAGTTTTTCGCACTTTTTTATTTTCTAACTCGGGTTTTGATAAACCGAACACGGTCAGGCTCATTTTACAGGTAATGGAATGTTCTTTAACTTTCTTATACACAGCATTGAGTTCCATTCATTAATTTAGAAGCTCCACTTCGTCAAAGTTGATAAAGTTGGAAAATGCAAAAAAAACGCTAAAATTGTTACCAAAATAAAATTATAAGTGCCCTTTTCTTAATCAGGGAGATGTACCTTACCGGAAAACCAAGGTCACCTTCAAGGCGTATTTCGTCGTAAGCTGTTGTAATTTTGTGGAATATGTTGTCAAAGATTTATATCAAGGATATACATTTGAAAAGCAAATTAAAATGCTTCAGATGGATAATGATTCGGAGAAATCTATTCGAGAGTGCTGCACTAATTTTAAAGTTAAGCTTGTAAAGCCACAAAAGCTGAGGTAACTATAGCCTTTTATTTTTTTACAAAATACAACAAATTGAAAATTTTAATTAATTACAGGCTACCTGACGACCTCAAGATTTTGGAACAAATTGATATATTTTCGGTTTAGAATATTTTATGTCCAAAAAAATCCAACATTATTCCCATTTTGAAAGAGTTTTCTTTTGAAGATATCGACATCTATTAAAAGAACATTGACGATACAATAAAGTTTTGGGCGGAAGTAAAACTTTTTAAGGACTCGAACGATTTTCTGAATTATCTTTGTTTGCGCTTCAGATGTTGTCCTACCCATGGTCCAACGCTTAATTCAGTGTTGTGCATAAGGTAAGCGCCAATTTGGTATAAACTTAATTATAAAAAGCAAAAACTTATATAATTCGTCTGATTACAGATATGGGTTGCGAAAACACAAAAAATGTTGCATAGACTATAAAGTCCCCTTAGATTTTATATATAAATAAATGATGATACGGTTGATGTTGAAGATGACATATTAAATATATTATAATTAAATAATTATTAAGCACAAATTTTCCTTAACACTAAAAAAACATTATTTTGTACTCATGTTAATAGAAAGCTAAAGAAAAAAACTGGTGCACATTTTTTCAGCATTTTTTTTCGAAATACAGATATTTGTATTTTCTTTAATAGCAAAATATGTTTGAAAATCTTTGCGCTTTTAATCAGCTTTTTTTGGGCCAAAAACAGCTTTTTTACCATCCTTGCCCCGTCAAAAACAACTTTTTTTCTCAGCCAATGTTGCCAACACTGCCCATGACCATTGGGCCAACGCACCATGTAATTGAACTGACACGCTCATATTTGTATAAGTAACCCATCTCTCTCGCGCGGAAGACCCCGGATCGACTCCCACCGCAGACAAAATAAAAGTGTTTTTTTTATATTCTTGCAGAGCGTATTATGATTTCAGTCAGAAAGTTGCAACGCAGTGAAGGAGACGTTTCCGACCCCATGAAGTATATATATTCTTGGTCAGAATCACTAGACGAGTCGATCTAGCCATGTCCGTCTGTCCGTCTGTCCGGATGAACGCTGAGATCTCGGAAACTATAAGAGCTAGGCTATAGATATAGATTTGGCGTGCAGATTCCTGAGCTTCTTACGCAGCGCAAGTTTGTTTCAGTAACTTGCCACGCCTTTCTAACGCCCACATGCCGCCCAAAACTGTGGCTCCTACAGTTTTGGTGCTAGAATACAAATGCTAGATTACAAATAACTGAAATGAATTGTTCTCATCAATACCTATCGATTGGCCCAAAATAAAGTTTTGCACTCCCACTTTAACGCCCACAAACTTAAAAAAAAAATTAAGATTTCAGATTTAGGTTCCGTAGCCTTGAGCGCAGCGCAAGTTTGTTACGCGAAAATGCCACGCCTACAAACCGATCAAACCTGTGGCGCCCACAATTTTCATGCTAGATACAAAATTTTAACTCAAATGTATTGGTCTCGTCAATACCTATCGAATGATCCAAAAAAAAGTTTGCCACGCCCACTCTAACGCGCATAACGCTTAAATCTGTCTACCAATAACCACATATTGAGATCACGGGTAGGTGGCGCATTTCAATCTCGCTTTGTTGCTTGCATATCCCCAGAAATGCAGCATAGCTTTAGGCATACTTAAGTACTTAAGTTCCCAAATTTTTTGAAACTTTGGCATAAATTATTTTAATGTATTATAAAAAGGTCTCCATACTCGGTTTGGTAATTTTCTTTAAAAAATAACGTATTTTTGTCCAAAAATCGGTTTGTCTGGCCCAGTGTGCAAATTATGTGTAGTTAATTTAAGTAATTATTTTATTTTATTTAATTTTAAATTTAATTTATTTTTATTTTATTTTATTTTAATTGAAGTTTTCCTTTTACGTAATTGTTGGACAGAGTTTTTTTATACGTTCTATTCTCGTTAACATTGACTTGGGAACTGCGCTTAAAGTTAAAACTTATAAAGAGGTACAGCATAATTGACTGGCGCCTCGTGATAACATAACCCTTTATTCGATGGCTTATCTTGAGCTTGAGCATGTTGATAAGATCCACAGCGTTATCTGCATAAGCCAGCGAATGAAGGGCGAGAGAAATTTACCAAAAATAACTACACTGTATAAAGTTTTATATATACAATAATCTAGATATATAACTTGCACTGCTTTGTTTGTCCTACCACAAATCGAATCTGAAACTATTTCCCTACCAACATTTTTTCAGCCAAAGGAGATCGCGAAAGTCATTGGGGAACTGAAACCGAAAACGGCACCCGATCTGTGACCTAATAACCCCAAAACTGATAATTGGACTTCCAAACTCTGCTACTGAGGTTATTCGTAAGCTCTGAAATAAGATCATAAGTCTCGGCTACTATCCGAAAAAATGTAAAAAAAAATCTATTATCATAATTATACGAAGCCCGGAAAAGACCACACAATTCTGTCACCCTACAGAGCAATAAGTTTGTTATCTTTTCTGTCTAAGTTGTTCCAATAATGCCTTATACACACACAATGTTACCCTGCTCATCAATTCGGCTTCCGTCAAAGCCATGGAACAATCGAACAGGTTAACAGAATAACATCAGAAACACGCACAGCCTTTGAGCATCGGGCGCAATATTCCTCCTGCCTGATAACACTCACAAGCTACTTGAGTCGTATCTCTAAAACATAGTCTTCGCAGTAAGGAGCAACACAACAACATCTGACGACTACATTATCAAAGCTGGAGTCCCGCAAGGAAGCGCACTAGGGCCTACTTGTTCCTCCTATACACAGCGGATATCCCTAGGCCGCTCGAGGTGCCCAGGCCGAACAACAACACAGCTAGCCAATCACCGCCTCGTAATAGAGAGGTGGCTATCTGACTGGCGTATTAAAAAAAATGAACAAAAATGTAAACACATAACGTTTATTGCCAACAGGCAAACATGCCCTCCGCTATCATTGAACAGTACGCAGATTCCCCAAGTACATGGCAGACGACTAACCTGGAGAAGACAAATCGTACGCAAAAAAGTACATCTAAAACTAAAAGCCAGCAGCTTCCACTGGATCCTTAACGCTGGTTCCCCCCTGACTACAAGGTCCTGCTTTAAATCTCCACTCTCAAGCCCATCTGGACATATGGCTCCCAACTGAGGGTAAACGCGAGCAGCAGCAACATAGACATTATACAGCGTGCTCAATAAAAAATCCTGCAAACTATCACTGGGGCACCATGGTATATTCGCAGCTAAAACATCCACCGGGACCTCGGCGTTCTTGCCGTAAAAGATGAAATAGACAAGCGAAAAGCGTCCTGCAATGAAAAACTCTCTTGACTTGGGTTTCCAGCAGATCCAGCCTACAACGCAACGACCTCCCAACCCAGCAATAACTTTCGGGTCCCCTTACCTCAATTCCATATGACTATTAGTTAGGTTAATTAATATAAGATTTGATACATGTATTGTTAGAATCCAAAGGGAGAAGATTCAATAAATAAATAGCAAAGCATGTGCATCTAACCATTCCTTCACGACTGCCATCTTATGCTGTACAACGAAAAGTACTATCCCAACATTCCATTTGTAAAGAGGACAAAACAATGAGCGAAGCAGACAACGTCATGAAGATAGTTCCGATCGTCGAGGACTGGATTCTCACGATGCAGATACAATACTCAAAAAAAATCTTTGTGGGTTTTGCTAAAAAGGACGCCAGTAACCAGTAACCGAACCATGTTGAGAAGTCTTTGGAAAGACTGATATATAATATGAACTGATGGCGTCTTTCCCTGAATGCTGTGTAAGCAAGGTAAAATGCGGATAATTTGAGAGCGAACTACAGCTGCAAGAAAGAGCCCTACCTTGATTGATCACATTGGGCCTTCCATAAAAATAAACCCGAAGTTATCACTCCCTAGTAGTCATGTGTGCTTTCACCAAATTCCCATTCCTAATACCAACGAATGTTTTAAATTACCATTCAGCCTTAAGGCTGGCGTTTGGAGCATTTCGCACCACCCCCATCAACAATCTCCTTTTCGAAGCCCAATTGATGCCAAAAGAGCTAAGGTTTGAAATGAGCATAGCAAAGATGTGCAAGGCATTACTGTTTGCAGCAAACACCCCAATCCAAACCATCCTACAAAGAATAAAGAAGTCGAAACGAAGACCCAGACTCCAATCAGTCTTACGTAAAGCATTCCAGTTTTCCAAAGATAATGGCACATTTACGCCACCTATAAAACCATACAAACAGAAGACACCACCATGGTTTTTCTTAAAGGACACGGTGAACCTTTCTCTGCACCATAAAACAAAGGCAATCACTCCGCCAACAGTATACCAAAAAAAATTTATATCTCTCAAGGAAAACTTCCATAAATACGGATTTATCTACACGGACGGTTCCAAATCTGCCCAAGGAGTATCCTATAGCATCACGACAGAAACAACTGTAATTAAAACTGCCGTTCTTCCGACACTCAGCTCAATTTATACAGCAGAGGTGGCAGCCATCTATGCTGCATGTAAATATGCTGACAAACAAAACAAAAAAGTGGGTATCTGCTCTGACTCCCTGTCTGCTGTAACTTCAGTTACCAACACCAATAACCAATCTTTTTATACTGTTCGTATTCGAGACATCCTCAACCGCCACCAACCAAAAATTATATTACTGTGGATTCCAGGCCATAACAATATTCCTGGTAATGACACAGCAGTCCTAGCAGCAAAAGAAGCTCACAAACTCCCACAGGTTATGGAAGCCAATTATAACTTCACAGACACACAGTTATACATTAAAAGTACTTTCAAGAAACAAATGGAATCGATCTGGCAAAACGCATCTGACCACTACAAACATTTCAACGAAAAAAAATTTTCTTTCAAAGATTACACCATTTCATCCGAAGACAACATCAACCGCAGAGATCTTACAAAAATCATGAGACTACGTTTTGGACATATAAGATACACCCATGACCATGTTCTCAATAAACAACCCCCACCCAGTGCGAGCACTGCGGTACGCGAAACAACGTGCGGCACTTTTTCCTAGAGTGTCCAATCCATGAAATTTCAAGAAGCAACACCCTCCCCATAAAGTCACCTGGTGCCCTATCTCCAAAATCCATCAAGACCATACAATTATATAACAATATATACATTTTGTAAATAACTATATATAAATACTCTTTTTCTGAAAATATGTAAATAACATCCTCCTAGCTTAAGGCCCAGTAGCTATAGCTAGAATAAGTGGTTGGTGGCAATATGCAATTGTCCCAAAACCAGAATATAAATAAATAAATAAATAAAAATATTGTAGTAAAAACAAGGAATAACACTATAGTCGATACCTCGACTATCAGATACCCGTTACTCAGCTAAAGGGACCAAAAGGAAATGGAGATATGCAAGCAGCAAAGCGAGATTGAAATGAGCCACCGCGGTGTGGAAACTAAAAACTAACAGGGAAGAACGCTATAGTCGAGTACCTCGACTATCAGATACCCGTTACTCACCAAAAGGAACCAAAGGGAAATGGAGATATGCAAGCAGCAAAGCGAGATTAAAGTGCGCCACCTACCGGCGGTAGACAGATTTAAGCGTAATGGGCGTTAGAGTGGGCGTGTCAAATTTTTTTTGGATCAATCGATAGGTATTGACGAGACTAATACATTTCAGTTAAAATTTTGTATCTAGCATAAAAATTGTGGGCACCACAGATTTGGGCGGTTTGTGGGCGTTAAAGTGGGCGTGGCATCTTCGTACAAGGCTACGAAATCTAAATCTGAAATCCCAATTCTCTAACTTCTATAGTTTCTGAGATATCCGCGATTTTTTGAAGTTTGTGGGCGGTTTGTTGGCGTAAAAGTGGGCGTGGCAAACTTTTTGTTGGGTTAATCGATAGGTATTGATGAGGACAATACATTTCAGTTAAAGTTTGTTCTAGCATCAAAACTGTAGGAGCCACAGTTTTTGGCGGTTTGTGGGCGTTAGAGTGGGCGTGGCACATTGCTGAGACAAACTTGCGCTGCGTAAGAAGCTCAGGAATCTGCACGCCAAATCTCAATAGCCTAGCTCTTATAGTTTCCGAGATTTCAGCGTTCATCCGGACAGACAGACGGACAGACGGACATAGCTAGATCGACTCGGCTAGTGACCCTGATCAAGAATATATATACTTTATTGGGTCGGAAACGCTTCCTTCTGCCTGTTACATACTTTCCGACGAATCTAGTATACCCTTTTACTCTACGAGTAACGGGTATAAAAAGTATGTATTTCAAATTCTATATTTTCATTCTATAAACTCATTGGAAATATTTTGAATTTCAAAAATGATTTCACGTGGGACTTGTCACTTGCAGGTGATTTCATAAGTGAAAGCTCACTGGAAATATTCTACAGGTGACAGGCCATACGACAAATGAGTATAAGGAAGAAGTGAAATCACAAGTTTTCACTTGTGAAAAAGAAGATATCCCTTACAATTGTCTATATGGAGTGTAACTTGTTCTTCACGCGTACAAACTGACATGTCACGCGCTATTCACAAGGTGATTCACGAGTGAATCTTTATTTTCATACCTGAAGGTCACTTAAACTCTATTAAGATTAATTGTGGATCGACCGTTACCAAAATCTAAACAAGGAAATGAATACGGAGTCACTTTAATATGTGATCTGTCAAAATAGCTTGTTGCAATACTGGTACAAAATAGAAGTGCAAAAACCGTAGCCAAAGATATAGTTGAAGAATTTGTTCTAAAGTACGGTCCAATAAACCCATTCCTTACGGTCATGAGAAAATAACACCAATTATTAATAGTTAAAAATTTATGCAAAAACACAAATTTTCACCATTAGACAGCACATGATCATTAGACTGTAGGAACTTTTAATGAGTTTAGACGAACATAAATCTCAACTGATAAAAGGGATTGGGATTTATGCTTAAAATATTTTGTTATTTTTGCTATTGAAGAACTTCGAACTTACCAACATATTTTAATAGCGTAGATAGAAAGAAATCTTTTTATAAAATATATGATTATGCTAAGAAATCATAGATAAGATTATAAAATTCCTTCAAAAGAGCTTTTTAAATATTAAAAACCATAAACAAAATCAGAAAAAAGAATTATGATAAAATCGTTTCAAACTTTGATTTCAAAGTAGATGATCCGGTTTTATTAAAAAACGAAATAGGTCATTAGTTAGAATTAGGACCATATACGGTATAACAATTACAAACATCAAACGAGCCACCTCTAGCTGTTGCACCAAAATACATTATTTATCTAAAGAAGCCATTTGAAGACGCATCCATCTCCCAAAATTGTTTCCTGAAAAAAGATTGACCAAGGTTAAATTCCTTTATTTTTTACTATTTCTGTAATGGAAACATGGCAAGATCGACTAGGTTAGTGATCGGAAACGCGTCTTTCTACCCAATGAAGTAAAAATTTTAATTTTGCTAGTTACAAAGACGTCCGATCAGAGCGGTTTTTGAATTTTATCTGACAAATCCCAGTCAATTTCATACTCTCGCTTTTTACTAACTTTTATTTCTTATGATACACACATAAATTAACTTTAACTTTTTATTATATATTAGCGTATTCCATTACATTTATAAAAGATAAGTGAATAATTAAAAAGAAATAAATAAACTTAAATGAATAACGCAATGTACAGCAAAAATGAAAACTATAACATATTAAACACTTAATTATAATCGAAAATACATGACCGTCGTTATACACATAATACGACAACATTGCTCTGACCTGTTAATATAAGGTTTTTTTACATAAGTACAATTTGCTATGAAAAATTCTAAGATTACGCGGAGAAACTAAGTAGGAACTAAACAATTTTGACTAAATTCCCTATAATGATTATTATGCTAGTTCTTAGAATTATGCAATTGCTTATATTAAAATGTACAAAGGGATTGGCGAGAATTATACGCATTTTTTATTTTTTATAAACTATTTTTTTTAAGCTATTTACTAAATAAATCCAGGAAATTTTCCAAACTGTGTATCATGATTTTGTTCAGCATGCAAACTGACATACGTGGGCTGCTCTATTTCCCAATCGGTACAATTATTTGGTTCATAAACTTCAGTTATTGGCGGCCAATTTTTTATTTTGGAAATGTCATACTCCAGACGCAAGTATTTTTGCTTTGATGTGACCCAGTTTTTATCCCGCTGAACTTGGTATTTTTTGAACACTAGATATTCGACTACAAAAGACTCGACAAAAATATGACAACTAAATGCTGCTGCTCCGTAAGCAAGCATAATATATCGAAAACTCATGACAGGAGGTACAATGAGCTGAAAAAAGTTTGCTACCCAGTCGCTGGGGTAAATGACCAAATAAACAATAATGCACACATTAACAATAAATGCCAAGCATAGTGGGAAATTTGACCATAGTGGCTTTCGATATGGCGCACCCTTGGAAAAAACAAAGGCAAGTATTATGTACTGAAAACTAGATATACAAAACATGGTGTAATTTTCATAGCAACCCAAATGGTCTTCATCTGCAGGTTGGAACGGTTTAAACCACGGCTCTTGATGTAGATGAATCCAACCTTAAATAATACGATAAAACGAAAAGGTATGTAGTTTTTCTGACTTGAATGTAATATTATTATTGATAACAAAGTTACAGCCGAAATGCCCCCAAGGGATTGATAGCCAATTTTGGTAACCTTCGACCACAGGATCAAGAAATTTATGTTTACTTTTTTTTCAATAGCTTAAAATTTTTTAAATTATCAAATGTCAAATCTGAAACTTTTATTTTTGTGATCCACAGGTCCATCACCAACTGAATTTGCGATCAACGTGGTTTTTGTTATATTTTATGGTGTTATTAATATACTTACCAACCACCTGGAATCCAGTTACAACAGTAAGATGAAGTAGAAGTGATGCTAATGGAGTAGAGGACATTAATGAACTGAGGGGTACTTGTTCGACCAAATTTCCATCAAATGATCCAGTTTTACCAAAAAAGAAGGCAAATATTGATATAAGTCCAAGGTCTACGTAAAGATACTGCTTGTCTGTCAAATTCGAGTCGATAGAATAAAGAACCATAACAGATATAAACTGAACCAGCGAATATGCTGCCATATATTTAAAAATCCCAAACGATGTGACTAATGCAGCGCGTCCTTCTTTAATAACTTTTAAAACAGCCGAAATCGTGGGATTGCGTGAAGTAAATGGCGACGCAATGGACGCTTCGGTCTCACTTAAGGAAATACCAGCATGAGCCACCTTTAGCGCACCACAGTCGTTGGCGCCATCACCGCACATGGCAACACAGTAGTCCAAATTTTGAAGTTCTATAACTAGTGCCTGTTTCTGATCGGGTGACATTCGGGCGTAAATCGACCCCCGTGTTAAAAGAATTGCCATTTCCTCTGGAAAGTGATCTTTTATAATTTGCCAAGTTCCGCCATCCATTGCAAATATGTAGTGTTGGCGCCAGCTTTCGTCTTGAGTGCGGTTCATTCCTAGCTCAGCCTCGACATCTGTTGCCTCATTGTGGGTCCATGTGTCTGTGGTCTTTACACTGGCCAAGCTATCACTCGTCGGCAGAATACTTTCTGCATAACTGGAGCTCGATTCATTAACTAATGAGTTCGTCGACTCTAGGCGAAACAGAGTTTGAGCACCGTCGGTACTGAATTTATCCTCACGATTTTCCTTGGGAAAAAAGTTACCATTGCACTTTGATGTTATAAGAGATGAGGCAGAGACTTTACTCCCCAAATCTAATGTGTACTGCAGCTTATAGAGCCTGTCTGAATTTTTATGAACAATTCTATCTGTATCGGGACCTGTGTTATTGGTTTGTATATTTCCACTATCTCCAAGCGGATCTGCATGCACTGTTATAACAGCTTGCGATGCGCTTACTATGCCACAATCACGAGCAACGCTCATAGCAGTTAAAATATTATCGCCTGTAATCATTATAGTTCGAATCTTTGCTGAGTTTAATGCTTTGATTACTTTAGCTGTATCTGGCTTAAGGCGATTTTCGAGTATCACAAAACCCAGAAATTCTAAGTTGTTTTCAACCTCTTCGCGGGACAGGCGCTGTATTTTTGTATAGTTCATTTTTTGAACAAGAGCTTTGAATGCAATGGCAATAATTCGGTATCCCTTTTTAGCGAATGTCGACAGCTGTTCGGAATAATTATCGGGTAGGCTTTGCGGTGTGCAAAGCTTCTGTAACATCTCTGGAGAGCCTTTACAGTAAACATTGAATACTTGATCACTAAGACAACGAGTAATAACGGACATTCGCTGAAGACTCGAAGTAAATGGAAATTCTCGAACAATACCATGGTCAAAATTTTTTTGATTTTGCGAGATACCAACAGTCGCTAGTAAATCGTCTACAGATGATTGACGGCTTATTTGTCTCTTTGTTCCCGAATCCGGTGAAGTCAAGTCGGAAAAGCAAAGCCTTGGTTGTCTTAAAATAGTTGGATAAAGTATACCATATTTTTCATTATCTGGTATGTTTTTTGAATCTTCTAATGTCCAACCCGTAGAATTAAACATTTTTAAATCCAAAGGATCCCCCATCATTGTGCCGTTCATTATTGTTATAGAGTGACACGTTACCATGCCGAAAAGAAAATGATCGTAAGGCAAGCGGTCCACGGTTTTTAACGGTATTTGAAACTGATTTGTTGATGATTTGGGCACTACCCCCCACATATCAAGTCCATCTTCAGTCAGCGTACCAGTCTGAAAAATATAGGAATAAATAATTAATAAATGTATATACATATTTATATATATATATATACATATATATATATATATTGTTTTAAAATGTTATCGAAACGTATGTTTTTCGATTGTTTGACTTGTGTAAGTATCTATCCATTTTGATGATAAATTCATTATCAAATTTTTTCCATAGCAATAGTCTTTTAAAAAGAATAACAAATTTTTAAAGAAAATACCTTCGAAAAGCGAGGACTAGTTTCCCATTAAGGGAACTACAGAAAAAAAGCAAAAATGTTTTTAAAAATGTGGCGTTTTTTCAAAATTTGTTTTCAATAGTCTGCAGGACAATTATAGAGATTTATATTTTCGTGAGGCGCAGTCAAGGAAATGTGCCAAAAACAAGGGAATACGCTATAGTCGATGGCCTCGACTATTAGATACCCGTTACTAAGCTTAAGGGAGTGCGAGAGGGATGGAGATATGCTTATATCCACCTAGTCAAGAGCGCCACCTATCTTCTTCTTTTATAGCGCCCCTTGGCCTACAGCGCGAAGTAACCTATAGCTCCCCCTGCTCTCGATTGAATTGAAAAATATTGATTATTATTTGGTTATAACCTTTTAGTGAATAGTCCGATTTAAATAATGGCAAGTAGATAGGTATTTAAAACAAACGCTCATTTAAATTTTACAAAATATTAAAAAATGTGGGCGCTAAATGGGTTTTAGTGTTACAGTCGTTTGTGGGCGTTAGAGTGGGCTTGGCACCCTGCTGAAACAAACTTACGCTGCGCAGGAAGCCCAAAAATCTACATGCCAAGACCCAACATTCTAGCTCTCATAGTTTCCGAGATCTCAGCGTTCATACGCACTGACGGATATGGCTAGATCGACTCGGCTAGTGATCCTGATCAAGAATATACTTTATGGGGTCGGAAACGCTTCGTTTTACCTGTCACATACTTTTCGACGAATCTAGTTTTCTCTTTTACTCTACAAGTAACGTGTATAAAAATGTCCTAAGTTGTTTGTAGGGTATACTCGTATTTGTCCGATCCGGTTCTTTCCGGCTTTTATACTACCTGCAACAGAAATAAGACATTTGGGAAGGTTTCATCCCGATACTTTAAAGGGTCGGAAATGTTTTCTTTACTGCGTTGCAAACTTCTGACTCAGATCATTTTACCCCCTGGAAGGGAATAAAAATAACCCAACTTTTTTGTAAGCCACCATAAATATCTAGTTCGGTTTATGAAAAGTTCAATTTGCAATTCAATTATTATATCATAGAGTATTATTTTTCCATAAAATCTTTAATCGTTCCTATAGCAGCTTTATGATTAATTAATTTTTTGTAAAATTAAATTCTGAAATATTAAAAATGTATTACCCCAAGTAGAATAGATCGCTATAGTCGAGTGCCACGCCAATCAGATATCCCCTACTTAGTTAAAGAGAGTACATGGGAGATGAACATATGCAAGCAGCAAAGTTGCTGTTTTCCAGATTGCATTACACCTAGCGGCGACTCTATTATTTAACTATAACATATTTTGGCATTAGGGTGGGTATCGATAAATATAACAAAATCCATTTACACTTTTATAAAATATTAAAGCATTTGGGGACTATAATTTACGTTAGAGTGGGTAGAGTGGGAGACCCTAGATTCGGCATGCTTAACCCGAACTTTCTACTTTTCTAATTTTTTCAAATATCTTAGCGTTCATACGGACAGACGGGTCCTGCTCATTCCTACTTATATATAAACCGCAATAGAAAAAAAATGTTGGAAAAGTTTCAACCAGTTGACTTTAAAACTAAGAGACTAGTTTGCGTAGTATCAAGCCGACCAACATGGCTATACTCGGTTGTTAATAATGATCAAGAATATATATACTTGTAGACACAGTTGTGACTAGTTAACTTTAACTTTTTAATGATGGTTATAATCAAACAAAATCTTTAAAAATGTGGGCGCTAGACAGGTTTTAACGTCATTCCTGAGCTTCTTGCGCAGCGCAAGTTTGTTTCAGCAAACGAAACGCCCACAAACCGCCCAAAACTGTGGCTCCTACAGTTTTGATGCTAGAATAAAAATTTTAACTGAAATGTATTGTTCTCATCAATACCTATCGATTGACCCAAAAAAAAGTTTGCCACGCCCACTTTAACGCCCACAAACCACCCACAAACTGTAAAATAATCGTAGGTATGTAAGTAAGTATATCAAAGATAGAGAATTGGGATTTCAGATTTGGATTCCGCAGCCTTGTACGCAGCGCAAGTTTTTTACGCGAATATGCCACGCCCTCTCTAACGCCTACAAACCGCCCAAGCCTGTGGCGCCCACAACTTTCATGATAGTTTTTAGTTTTTTAAAAATCGGACAGCTCTGTACACACAATGCTCCCACGGGAACGACCTGCAAGGGTAAAGAAACTTTTTAACAATTAAATAAAATGTTTTTCGGTAGCGTAACTTTTTTCAACGCCAATGAAATTTGTTTTTATTAGTATTACTTTTGTCAGTTCCAACGAAAAGTGTTTTTATAAGCATTACTTTTTTAATGATATTTGAAAAATGCTTATTCTTATACTTCTTATTCTGCTTGTACTAGATTTACCAATTTTATAATAAATAAAACAGCCCGACAGAATTTCCTTCGTTTGGTAGTCCAGGCCTGACAGCATAATATTTCGATACGTGAGGCTGTTCAAAGCATAAGATGTCACTACACCTTAAGCTTTGGTATTTGAGGTATGATTAATTTAAGAAAATCACAATTTTTATTCGACTATTTGCTTATATCTTCAACCCTGGTAAAATAAATTATAAGTAAATTTACAAGTGTCATGTATTAAGTGTCATCAAAGCAAGGTTTAAAAATCTTGAATTGTGAAAAAGGTTTAAAAATCAAATAAAACTATTTTCCTCTACATTTTTTCACGCAAGAACATGTATCCCTCATTTTAAACCACTCACCGGGTTCCGAAAAATGTTTTAAATTTTTTTAAAATAATTTTTTTACATTTTCCCAGTAACGATTCACACACTTTACCCATACCTGGTTCAGCCGAGCTTGGCCCGGTTATATAGTCCTAAGGCCTAAATAAAAAAAAGATAGACATTCCAAAATAAGTAATTATTGG